CAATCTGTAATTGCAGTGACTTTACTTGAGTCCATTTCTATCCCTTCAGGAGAGATTATGTAACCTAAAAAATGTATCTTGGAAGCTTGGAATGTACGTACACTTTTCCAGTTTGACATATAGTTTATTCTGTATGAGCCGAGAGAGTACTTCTCTAACATGGAGTACATGATCATGGAAATTATTGGAAAAAATTAAAATGTCATCCAAGTATACCAAGAAAAATGTTTGTATTAAATCTCGAAAAATATCATTAATAAAGGTTTGAAAAATCGCTGGGGCATTTACTAAAACAAAAGGCATGACCAAGTACTCATAATGTCCATGGGTTGTCATGAATGTGCTTTTCCACTTGTCCCCTTCATGAATACGGATAAAATTTAGGCCCTCAGTAGATTCAATTTGGTGAAAATTTTGGCTCCGTGCACGGACTCAAGTGCTGCTGAGATATACTTATGGAGGGAAATGTGTGGCATCCTCTCTAAACATTGATTTTGGATTAAAAACCAATGGGTGCTTCATCCTTGTATTATTATTATTATTGCTATAAATTAAGAAGTACTCTTCACTAGTGGTTTGCATGTTTAGTTTGCTGGAGGAAAGAAAGAGATGGTGATCAGTAAAAATATATAATCTACAGTATACTATATGCATCTATATTTTGTTCAAAAACAATACAACAGGTATTTTGAGAAGTCACCTGAACAATCATTGTACTAAAAACAGATTTGCATCTGTAATATTTAGAGTAATTAGCAATAAAGCACTGATAGTTTTTACATTTTTGTTTGATTTTGTTTAATTTTGTTTGTTTATGTGTCAAAAACAAACTCTAAGTTTCATCTTTAGAGTTATTCATGCAGTCTGCTTTAAATTGACAAGGTTAACAACGTCGTTTCACAGGTCATAGCTTAGTTGGTTTAGTGATCATTTAGCTGAGCAAATAAACCATCTCTTTAACAAAAGTATCAAATTGATTTTGATATCAAATTGTTTTCTTAGTGTTGTTTGCTTTTTTATTTAATGCCTGTGGTTTTGTGTTAGTAATGTGTTCACAGTCATGTCTTTGTGAAAATTATCATTGAGAGTGAAGCAGATTTAAAAGTCTCTTAACACAATTATTTTTCTAACATTGTGAAATGGGTCATAACAATTTAATTTGCTAATTTTCCACGATTCATCTTGTCTTTAGCTATTGTTTAAGTGGAACAATATTAGAATTAACAAGGATAGAGTGAGCCCCACAGTGTGAATCAATTCATAAAAATATGTTGAAGGTTTAGATTTGTCGAACAAATGGTAATTACTCTGACGTTAATTGACACACATCAATAAGATCAGGATTTAAAAAATATACCTTTTCAACAAATTAATCATGCCCAAATGGGATCTGCCAAATGCATTAAAATCTTTTAATAATGAATTCATAATGGAATATAAAATAAAGGAAACATTAGAAGTCAAATGTCACATACAGATGCAGCCATTCAAAGTGAGCGGTACAGACGGCGTCGCGAATCATGACGCAAGATGACGCGGGGTACCGCGGTACGTGATTGGTTGACCGACAGGGGCACTCGTGGTCCGTTGGTCTGTCGTAGAAAGATTTACAGTACAGTAAACGTCTTTACTGTGCCCAATGTAGATACTGAATTTTACAACTGAAGAGAAATCTTAGTAGCTGAGCATAAAAAGAATAGGAGCAAACTGTAACACGTGTGAAGGCCATCAACGATATTAATTTTGTAACATAAACATACAGTACTGTATATGGCTGGTCTTGGTACTTTAAGTAAAAAATACACACCAGTATTCCATTTCTCCCAAAACATTTTAAGCATCAAAGTCTTTAACTAAAGAGATACTGGAGTCAACAAGCATACTTTTAGAATTTGATTAATAGGGAATATAATATGGAATCGCGTATCTAAAGAATTTAATAACGATGATTATATTCGTGGACTGCGACAGGGCTGTGTAGGGCTGTTTCGCCTCCCTCTTCATGCGATTTCCCCTGTAGCCTACTGGTCTACGTGCCTGACTACCAACTCATGAGTTGTGTGTTCAAATCCAGCTGGTGCTGGACTTTTCTTTTAACAAACATTTCTTCGAAAAAATAGAATAGCGATATAATGGACAATCAATTGACTTTTATATTTCAAAATATCACAACATGATCCACCTATTCTTCTGCATAACGTATTACAGTATGTATGGTAACATAAGTCATCCTTCCTTATATGATCATTAAAGTACTAATGCATTGGCTTTAAGTTAATTTAAAATATTGCTGATCAACTAAAACAAACAACACTAATCACAATTTTAGAGTAATCGCTATAATAATGATAATAATTAATAATTGCTTAGACTTTTATAGCTCTTTTCTGGACACTCCACTCAAAGCGCTTTAAGGGTAATGGGGATTCCCCTCCACCACTACCAGTATGCAGCCCCACCTGGATGATGCGACGGCAGCCATAGTACACAACAACACTCACCACACACCAGCTATCAGTGTTGAGGAGAACATAGTAATGAAGCCAATTGATAGACAGGGATTATAAGGAGGCCTTGATTGGAAAGGGCCAACGGGACATTTGGCCAGGACGTCGGAGTTACACCCCTACTCTTGCCCAACTGGCAACCCACTGAAGCTAAGCAGGTGTGAGCCTGGTCAGTACCTGGATGGGAGACCACCTGGGAAAAACTAAGGTTGCTGCTGGAAGAGGTGTTAGTGGGGCCAACAGGGGGCGCTCACCCTGCAGTCCATGTGGGTCCTAATGCCCCAGTATAGTGATGGAGACACTATACTGTAAACAGGCGCCGTCCTTCGGATGAGACATAAAACCGAGGTCCTGACTCTCTGTGGTCATTAAAAATCCCAGGGTGCTTCTCGAAAAGAGTAGGGGTGTAACCCCGGTGTCCTGGCCAAATTTCCAATTGGCCCTTACCAATCATGGCCTCCTTATAATCCATCTATGAATTCGCTACATTACTCTGCTCTCCTCCCCACTGATAGCTGATGTGTGGTGAGCGTTCTGGCGCACTATGGCTGCCATTGCATCATCCAGGTGGATGCTGCACATTGGTGGGTCCCCATTACCTGTAAAGCACTTTGAGTGGAGTGTCCAGAAAAGCGCTATATAAGTGTAAGCAATTATTATTTTTATTATTATTATTATCATTCCCCACACTGCAGACACAACTGGAAGTGTTCGCTACAATACAAAAACATGACCACGTTGAGATGAGGATGCTGGGTAGTGGCTAACTAGGTAGGGGGCAGGGAGAAGCTTACTCAGTAGCTGGATTCATTCCATGATCCAAGTCTGTTGTGCAGATATTTTGTGCTTACCCTTTGGCTCAGTTTCATCCCACTCTGCTTTGCTTCCATGCAAGACCTCCTCAGCCAGACCACATAGAGAATAAGGAAATTTGTGAATGTTAATTTTGCAGGTATTGAGATCCTGCTGGATATAGAAGTAATTTGTGTACATAACCCCTCTAGTCATAATAATAAAAAAATAATAATAATGTGAGTCTCCATGGTCACATATTACTTGCATACTGTATGATAAGGTGTGTGCATCTTTAACATTATAATAAATAATTGCTTAAATTTGAATAATGCTTTTCTTCTAAAGGATCCACGTGTTTTGCATACAGTGCCTTTAAAAATGTCTTCAGATCCTTGCAATGTGTCACATTAGTTGCTTTAAGATTGCAGTCTTGTCATTTTATTGTAGCAATTAAAAAATATGTACATGGCCTTCTCCACATATTCAAAGCAAAAAACAAAAAGAGGTAAACAGATAATTAATTTGAAAGAAAAATTAAAAAGTCATGATTGCACAAGTATTCAAACACTTTGCTCTGTCAAACCTAATTAATTTAGATTACAAAATTACCTTAATGAGCAAAACAATCAGTTGAGTGGCCTCTGTCTGTGTGCAATTACAGTAGTTCACATGACTACAGAATAAATACTCCTACCTGTGTACGGTCCTTCACTCAGATAGTTAATTTCAAGCAAGTATTCAGCTATGCAGATCAAGGAACTTTCAAAACAACTCAGGGATAGAATTTTATAAAGACACAGATCAGGAGAATGGTATAAAAACATTTCAAAGATCCTTAATATCTATTTGAATTCGACCATCTAAATAGTAAAAAGTCAGACACTGCCTACATCAGGCTGCCCCTTCACACTGAGCAGTCAGGGAGAGAGGAAACTGGTTAAGGATGCCACTACATGACCAACAGTCATTCACATTTTGAAAGAACTGCAAAGTTCAGTGGCTCGGATGGGAGAAAATGTCCATTGATCAACAATATCCTGGTCACTCCACAAAACGGACGTGGTCTGACGCAATAAAATTAAAACATTTTGATCTAAGTGCAAAGTGTTACACCTGTCACAAACCCAACATAGCGCATTACTCAGTCAACACTCACCCTGTTGTAAAGAGTATGTTATCATTCTGATTTAAATCTGCCGGGACTGTGAAACTTTTGGAAACCGATGGAACAAAATACAAGCAAATCTAAAGACTTAAAACGGGGACAAAATTTTGCCCTTCAGCAGCATAATGATTCAATTCACAAAGCAAAAAACTACAATGGAGTGGTTTTAAAATTCAGAAAACCACTGTCCTTCAGTGGCACATTGAGTCCTGACTTGAATCCTGTTGAGAAATTGTAGAAAGACTTGAAAGCTTCTGTCCAATTGGCAATTCCCGAGCAAATTGGGAGAGCATAAGTAAATGTACCGAGAATAATGGGTAAAACTTGCACAGGGCCAGTGAGCAAATCTGGTAGAGACTTACCTAAAAAGAGTTCCAGTTGTAATTGCTGCCTGATGTGCACCTCCACTTGTCCCAACTCAATCATTTTTGTTTTGGTATAACAGAATTTAATCAGCCACTTCTTAGGTTATTCTAATATGGGTCAAAAGTTCTTGTTTTTTTGGAGACCTGTGAGCTATGTTCTTTCAACAGGCACTACCACAGTATGGGTGAGTTTAGCCATTACGACCTATTGGATGCCTCAACTGGACGCAAGGTGGCAGAGGGCCACAAGGCTAGTTTCTGCCTCGAAGACACCACATGTGACTTTGGTCACTTGAAACGCTATGCCTGTACATCTCACACCCAGGTACAGTATCATTGTGGTAGAGTTTTGAAAAAAAAATCAATAAAAACTACATTAGCTTGTTTTTGTATATCACTGATTATGGACTTTTGAATTGTATTCAAAACTTTTATATAAAAAATATGGATTTTATTATTGAATTATGGATTTTTAGAACAGATAATCCTTCTTGGCTGTTGCTCAGCTGAAGCCATTTCAATACTACACCCATTTAGCTATTGTACCATGTATATATTTGAATATATTGAGAAGGTAAAACAAGTGCATTGTTGCCATGAATTTATCTGTGTGAAAATGCTTAATAAGAAAGTTAAAAGATGGTTAAAACATTATAAGGATGTGGTTTACAGAAAATATAATGTGTAATATAAAAAAGAGTAGTATTTAAGTTCTTATCTATATACTGTACTTTTACACAATTAATAGATACAATCTGAAGCAAATCAATCAGTTTGATTTTTCAGAATTCCACTTGCCTTAAGATTAAGATAAATGGTGCTGTATAACATTGTAAAATAAGAAACTTTAGAACATTTTAGAAAATTGTGCAATCATTTGTAAAATAAAAAATGATCATGGTATAGAATTTAATCATGGTGTCATTGCATCATTGTATCTGTATCATTTACAGATGAAACTCTCATCTTATTTTTCTTCTCCTGCTGTGATCAAGAATTTCAATAAACAAATTCTAACTCATCCTATTGGAATACTAAGCAAATATTTTTAAACAAGCAGAGAATTTATTAAGACTGCATTCATAAATTATACTTAATAATTATTAAGTATTCATTTATTGAGATATAAATTGTTTTCTACATTAGAGGCTGTCTCTTGCTCTTGTGTAGGGTCTAAGTCCTGGTTGCTATGATACATATAATGCTGACATTGATTGCCAATGGATTGACATCACAGATGTTCAACCAGGAAACTATATTCTCAAGGTAAGAATAAAACCCCTTTTGTCATTTATACAGACAGAATTCTGTGGTTATTGTCTATTGAAATGTTTACCTTTTTTGGGGGGTTTTGTTTATATAATAATAGTTTTATGAGAGTTAATCCTGACAGATCTACTGTACAAATAATAACCTTTTAGATTTATGAATGTGTCAAGATAATCAAATTACATTAATGACAAGGAACAGCTAAACGTAATTCAATTAGTTTGGATTATCTAAGGCTCCACAGCCTAAATGTGTTTCTTTTCTTCTATTTTCAGCATGGAATAAACCTTTACTTGTTCCTTTGCAGCCTACGCATGCTGACACAGCTACCTACTTGAACTGATATTTCATATAGATAAATTAATTTCATAGATAGATAAATAGTCCTTGGATCAATTTAATACTAATTACCAAACAGACTAATTGGGTCAAATGGGCTCCTCTTGTTTGTAAATTTTTTCTACGTTCTTATTTTGCCAGCTCATGCATAGTTTATACAATATTCTGATATTATGAGGATTTTAGATTACTACATTACAAGATTTGTTTCAGCTTGTCCATCTCAGCTTATTAATACTCAGCTGTATTAATAAAAAGTTGTTACAGTAGTTGAAAACACTAACGAAGACTTTAAATTGTTGAAATTCAGAACATAAATATTGTAATTTTTGATTGTGTTCTGAGTGTGTTTATAAAATGTATGTATAAAATATGTAACAGAGAAAATGAGAAAACTCAAATTCTTTTTGGAGGATCTGGACTATTAAATTCAGGGGTTGTTTTGTTATTTACCTTGAAGAGAAGGATACACAGAAAAATATTAAACTTTTCCTTGGGTATATGCTTCAAAATACATAAAGTATACTTATTTATTTAAACAGTGCTGTTTGTCCCACAGCTACAGGTGAACCCCAAGTATTCCATACTGGAGTCAGATTTCACAAACAACGTGGTGAGATGCAATATCCATTACACTGGACGTTTTGTCTCAACAACAAACTGCAAAATTTCCCAGTAAGTATTGCTGCTTGTCTGAAATATGGGAATCAAAGAGAAGACAAAAAGAAGTTGTTTTTACCACATTTACCTATTACCACCTCAAAGACTGATCCGGTTGCTGCTCACAAGAGCACCCAACTTAAGAACTGGATCTCTTTTCAGTAAATATCTTTTCAAAAATCTTAGGCAAAAATGCCTATAAACATCTCTGGTTTATGAATATGTAAGTAGTCTAGCAGGAAAATGTATTTACTAACCTATTTCCAATGTTTGGTAACTACAGTAATTTTGTTTCAGTTTCATTCCTTGTCTTGTGTATTGTATTTACGTTTGCACTGTAGCATTTTCCTGTACCTGCTTCAATTTACTTGTGCTAATGAGGATTTTGACTGGGATTATTGTCTCCAGCCTTGAAACTAACAGTCTCATTTTAATTTAAATGAAAAATGTATTTTTTATCATCAAAACTTTTAATTTCCCCCCTCAAAGGTCCTGATCATTCATCTAGTTCTGTTAAAGAGGGATGAGTTTCCAGGGAATTGCGGTTCCACTGAAATGTGAAAGGAAACCTCTTTTTAAAAGAAATATTTGGACCCAGGAGGCACAGACAGTGGTACAAAAGCATTCAAATACACAAGCAAGATACGTAATGGATCTGAAATCAATTCTGTGGCTGTCTCTGCTTTCTCTATCTTCTTATGGAAGAAACATAAGAGAGTGAAAGCTAAAGATCTTGGACATTTTTAAAACCACCAGATTTCCTGTCTGGTAACCCTTAATCGTATCCATTTTAATAAATAACATCAGATATCTATTGGTTATCAAACAGGGGCCCCAGGAATGTTAAGAGTCATCTTAGTTTTCTATAAAACCTTCTTAACTGTATTTTTATTAAATGCAACACTGACACTGAAAAATTATTACATTCAGAGGATGTATTTTTTTAATTTTGTTGATTTTGTTACTGTATTATGTGTTTGATTACCTCTGTAATGAACACGCTAGTGTCAAAACGTTTGAAAACTATCCTCTTGGTGTCAATGTAAAGTTTGAATATCTGTGGATCTCCTTTCAGTCTACCTTTCTGATTCTATATTATACAGGGCTGCTGATAAATGTGCTTATCTCTTTATCTTTGTATTTTCTTAGTGTCTACAAAGTTCTTAACACTAGTAACAATCAAAGTGTTAATTAAAAATTCATTTAAGAATGTAAATAGTAATAAACCCACTGATGCATGTTTTTCATGTATGTTTTTCCTTTGTATGTATTTTTTAAAGAAGAGGTTTCAGTAATGTATCCTACCTGAGATTTATTTTAAGTATACGTATATCTATACATTAATATTTTTACAGAAATTTGGATTTTCTCTATATCAATTATTTTGGCAAAGAACGACAGACAATAAATTGAGCTACTGCTAGAACATGTAATGTTTATAAATCAGTAGCTGTGGCTTAAAATGCAGAGAATCATAACACTGTCTCTACCTACCTCTATAAAAGGGAGCTATTATTTCAAACAAAATGTGACAGATTAAATATTTAAATCCCAAGTCAAATTATATTTTCATGACTACCAACACAATTCTATACCATACATAATCCATTGATTTCTTTAGAATGTTGAAGCAGAGCAATTAAATGTTTCTATTTTTAGAAAAAAATTTATGAAACAGTATTGTACATAAACAACTAAAGGTTTGATTGTTTCATATACTGTACTAGGATAGAAAAGCTGCCAAATCAATAATGCAAGTGAGTCACAAAATAAGTTATCTGAGTAGAGGAAATTATACAAAAATAAAGATCATAATTTAAATTCGAAAACACTTTGAACATTGTGATTTGCATTTATTTGGACATAACCTCCCTCATCGGTGCTCCGTTTGAAATAAAAGAAATACTGGAAATGAAAGATTTTAGTAATATATACCAAAGAATTCTGTTAAACAAAATGAAAATTTTAACTGTTAACTTATTGTCGCCCATCTCAATCAATACATTATTTTAATTATTTTTGGAAAAATCTGTGGCTCCTGCTGATGTGTTTACTCTCATGTGGTTCACATTCATGTCTCAATAATTAGGAGGCTATTGAAAGCAGACTGCTTTTGTTTACCAGGTTTTCTGTTTGTTCTTCAGTCATTATTACGAGCCTGCCTGAAAATCCAGGATCACTATAGCATCTGTGAAATAAAGCAAGGAATGAATCTGTGACATTGTATCTGTGGGTCTTCTTCTAAATACCCTTGTGCCAAACTGAATTTATTTTCTGGCTGATGAAATGGCTACTGCACAAGGTTTCTCTTCATTCTTCAGGGGTGTGATAAGATCAGAAATAAGATAATTGGTGATGGTGTTTCTCAGCATTAAAAATAACTTCTAAATTATCCTCTATCCACAAAAAAAATAAATAAATGGTCAGTCTTGTACAGTAGTTGTTAATTATATAATGTTTTAAGCTGCCAAACAGCTACTGTAGCTACTCATTGGGGTTTGAGCTTATCAAAAGCCATGGTTATGAGAGAGGTTTGAACCTTTCTATCAGCTTAGGATGTTGTCCAGCAATTATGAAATACTGTAGATTCAAAAGTAATGTAATTTTTACTTCTGAGGCTGTTTTAAATTGCATGATTTTATCATGTTTACCAAAAATGTGCTCAGCAATAGCATTTGAATTATAACTTCAAAAACATGCTGGAATTGGTTTTCTGAGTTTCAGAAATAGACAGAAGCTTGATGGTACACATGGAGCTTTTTGTGTACAGTGTACAGTAGGTTAAGAAATTAAGAAAGAGGGAATCGACCATATATACCGAGATGTTTTAAAAACATAACAAATGCTATTAATGTGTTTTCTGTGAAAAGTTAAAGACTACTAACTCAAATAAGAGCAGATCTGAGATGTATGCCTAAACTTGCTCATTCTTTCCTGTGTGCAGATACAGGCTTGTACAGTAGCTGTGACCCGAGATGTGAAAACCACATAACTGACAATCACAGATTAGTTGAGCCTAAGAGAAAATAATTTTCTTTTTTTTTAAAATGTACCTGTATGTTACCTAAAAAAAACAACCAATAGCTTTGGTTGCTGTGGATGCTGTGCTTTTGTTTGCATAGCAATGCTGTTCTTGTTGTCAGGCAAGCAGTGTTTATAAACAGTGACTGAGCCCGACTGCTACCAAAAAGCTACAAAAAGAGACTGGCTTCTCACAAAAGCGTTTTTTTTTTCTTAATAAGCTTCTAAGAAAAGGATAACCTCTTAAATAATAAGAGTTCTCCTGTAAAATATATCCTCTTCTATTAAGGTCTGTAGAGCTTTGGTGTCGTGGTTATCCAATCAGATAATCATTAGTGTTTGTTCCTGTGAGTGCTAAATCATAATCACTGTCACAGTAGAGAGATGGAGGTATTAATGCAAAAAGAGTAGTAGAAATAAAGTTATGAAGTTATACTCAGATAAAGATACCCCCCCCACTAACACCGCCCAATTCCAAAGTGAGTACTGCTCTGATTCAAGTCTGGGAACCCTGCCAGGGCTCCTAATTATACAGTAATTACAGAAAAAAAGGGGTAATTAGAGAATCTATTGGAATGAGAATTGAATTTAGATTACAGATATATCCAAAGTAATGTGCAGATCTTGGTAATCAGGGGGAATAAATAATTCCGCACACATCTGTCTCATTCTTTGATATTGCCGTTTTGATAGGGTACAGCTGTAGTATTCTTATATTGTTCTTGAGAATTTTGGATGTGCAACATGAACATGCTGTTCTTAATGTTCTTGAAAGAGTATGGCTGTGTGTTTCCTTTAGGAAGTCTGTTTGCTGCAGGTCCATGTGTGGAGGATCACTGATGGCTGAAAACTTAAAGCTCCATTTATTGAAAATTCCTGACTGCTAGCAAGTCTAGACCTTAAATAGCAGGATTAGTGTTACAAGTTAAAAGAAAACACTACACAATGCAATTTCTTCCTTGTGTGAAAAGATGGATAACCAAAATAAGAAACACTCATAGACAAGGTCACTTGACCGTTCTCCAAATAAAAAAATATATTTCTTTCTTTCTAACAAAAATGAATAAGAAATAACATTAGAGAACCTTTAAGTCCTACATTCTGAGTTGCAGGATGCTTTATTAATACACTAGAAATGTGTACAGTTCATCAGTAATTAAGCTAATGACTTTGTTGAGAATAGATTCCAAAAAAGGATAATCTGTGTTGTCATATATTAATTTCAGGCATTTTGTTTTTCCTTGTTTTGTATTATAATTAAAACAGACTCAGGCTATGTAACAATATTTTAGAATAAGTATATATATTTTAATTACTTAATGAAAAATTGTCTTTTGGTGTAGCCAATTGGTGCTACATATTTTATGAAATTGTTCACTTCATTCGGGGTTCTTGGCAATTACATTGCTGAAGAACATCTCAATATAAAATCTTGGTTTCTATGGGCCCATTACCGTAGAATTTCTTCTCATCGCAAAGGTTATTAAAAGGAAAACCAAGGAAATTGGATCTTGTAATTCACCTTTGAAATCTTTCTTTTTAACTATTAATGTAAGTTTGTTACCAGCAGCTACATTTTAAAGGATTTTCTGCATTTTAGGATCCTTGTTCTCAATTGGTTCAATATTAATGTAACAAACAGAGAATAATAGTGAAATAATGAACAAACGTTTTTGAGTAAGTAAAATCTTCCTTTCGTTGAAAGATAGAGTATTATACAGTATGTGTAAGTGTGTGAACATTTATACATTTTCCCACACTTTTATAATATAATCATATATGTTTGTTTGAGGCATTCTCTTTAGATGAATAAATGTAACCAAGAAACATGCAAAATGATAGATCTATTAGACCTAGAATACAGAAATAGAGATTTACAAGGTGAACTGTAGGCATCTCTATAGAAAATTTGAAATATAAGATGATTTTAAATAAATTCCAATGGTTTTAGATCACATTCTGTGGGTGGAGATAGGGCATTAAAATTTTAATGGGAAGCAGAGAGCTATGGTTTAATTTTTTTCTGAAACCCCCTTCTTAGGTGTGGCTGAAGTCAATAAATGAAGGTCTGTTCACTCTCAAAACAGATTTGATAGCTTTGGGCCACACCTGGCCCTTGGGACTTTAAGAAAACAGTACATGCCTCATGACACTATAGAATAGTATACATTACAGCATGTTCATAGATTCATAAATCACTCACTTTGCTCACACTACTCTTAGGTACAGCCAGGATGCATTCTTTCTCTGGCCCCTGCTGAAATGGTGCCACATTTCCAACATTCCTCCTGCTCGATGCCCTAGCCAGACCCCCTCCCCTTTCCTCCTTCTTCTCTTTTTTTTTTCTCTTTTTCCTTTGGCAGGATAGAGACAGTTCCTGAACCACCTTTCATCAGCGCCAACATGAAGAGGGTGTTTAACATACAGTACACACGAAAACCCAGCATTAATAGCTTCATACAGTACATACAGTTTGGTTTGGCTTGGAGGGTGGGTGCTGGTCTAGAGTGAGCTTGATTAAAACAAAAACAAGTTCACAGCAATGCATTTCAAGGTCAATGCATTTTGTGAGCTCGCAGAAAAAGACATTTCATTGCCAACAACTACTGCTGCACGCCGTATTGTTGTGCATTTGATAAATAAACTTGATTTTGATTTGACCTTAACAGCAGTTTGTTGGTTTGCAAGCTTTCAGGATTGACTTGTTTCCCTGGGACAGGTCTGGACTAAAGCAAAGGCCTCTGCATCCTGAGCCTTCAGAGGGACCTAAACCTTAGTAAATTGCCAGGATCAGTAATTAAGGTTTCAATAGAGAAAATTGTGAATATTTGCTATTTTAATGGCATATACTGTTTAGAGAAAAAAATCAGATTTAGTCCTAAAATGTTTCATTTTGCGGTCATCAAATTGCAAACCACTTATGAGATGAGCAAACATTAAACTCTGTGTTCATGCTTTAAACTTTTTTGAAGGTCTTTTATAGCAGTTTAACAAATAGCACTTGTTGCATATATCTCTAAAACATTTTGAGGCCCGAAGAAAAGTTTAAATTAATGCAATAGCTTAAATTATTACCATAGAAGAATTATTTAAAAAGAAAGCTTGGGGCAGAACAAAAGCCAGGAGATCACACTTCCCTCCAGGAACTGTGTTTGACTTCTTTGCTGAGTGATAAAGCTTAATATTCACCTAATCTTCAAGGTTGTTAGCTCTTGGGCATAGAACAGTTTAGAGCAGCAAATTGTAAAATCCAATGGGGTAGAATTATCATTTTTAAACTTAAAGTATACCAACATGAGCTCCAGTTTTCACATCATGCAGACCTTAAAAGTCCATTTAATTTCGTGGTCTCGTACCTCAGAAAGGAAGGAGTCTGAAATCCTCAATACTAGCTATTAATGCTGGAAGAAGCTTCTATAAATTAATTTACTGTATATAAAAAAATAGATGTCTAAATTGACATAGTCCTGTTAGATTGCACAACCAAAATGTCCAGTCAAGGATTTGTATTTAATTTACTTTTACCAAAGAAACTTTACAATCCCCTGTTCTGTCTCACATAATGAGATATTGCAGTACAGGACATTGGCTACACATAATTAATCATCTGGCAAGTCTCGCAAGTTGATTAAATTGATTAATAAAGACACAAGTGTTATTTGCAGGGGGAAAAAAACAAGTCATGAAATATAAAATAGAAATCCTTTGCCGGAGATCTAATAAGTATTTTTGACATTCCATGTAGCTGGACTTATTTACAAGACTGCATTATAAAAAATGACAAGAAATATTTAACATAACATATAATGTTTAAAGATATAAAGATAATAAAGTAAGTCATTCTAAAATGGATTGAGCATCAAAGAAGAAGACAATTTCACTGTGCTTAAGTCTGAGACAAAATACACTATATACAGTATGTAACAGTCATTGATCATATTAGTATTAAAATTACTATTATTTATACCAGCCAGAAATTGCCTTCCATATCTCTGTTTGTGGGACTAAATTCTAATTTAGACTTCTTTTCCTTTGAAAAAAAATGAAATGAAGTGAAAAGATCATATTCAGCCTCATTTTAATGAACAGCAGAATTATTCCATACAGTATGTCTGTATCACTGTCTATAAATAAGTTGCCTTAACTATCCCTGTTATACTTGATCACATATGTTTTAGGCATATGTTATAGTCTG